TTTTATATTCTTTATTTATTATATTGCTTTATTTTTTTTTATTATATTGCTTTATTTTATTGTTTTTATTATTTTTTTTATTATTCAACGAGAGGGAAGCAATGAACAATATAAATTATTGTTCAGAAAATATTAATTTAATGCAGGTTAGAGCTAACTGTTTAATAACAAAATAACCACCTTGGGGAAGTAAGAAATATTTTAGAATACATATTTTTTTAAAAACCCCAAGATAAAGAAGACTCGCTATTCGATTCGCGAAGGTTCGTCAGAGACATTATCTTAAAATTGCAAGTTTCAAATACATATATACATACATACATATATGTATGTCAGGTGGTAGTTTCAGGAGGACTGAGAATCTCAAATCGTGTCCCAGATTTGTGTGGAGCACCCACAGCAAAAATCGAGGCTGATAAATTATTCTAGGGCTTAGGCAGCTTTCATAATATTTTTCTATATCTATTCTATAATATCAAATATAAATAATATTGCAAATAAATTTCTTTGATTAGACCAATTGGATCATTTGTAGGCTACGATGAGGGGACATAACCTTGACATAGTCAAATTATCACATAATTAAATAAAACGATAATGATAGGATATATATATATATATATATATATATATATATATATATATATTACATTAATTCGAAGTATATATAATAATATCAAGTAAATAATTATCATATTACTTAATAATTATTATGCTACAATATAATATAATATATACGTTAATAAAATAATAGCGATAGAGGCAGTTCCGTATCAGTCTAATTAATAGCCTACGTTTAGCCTAATTAATATCGAAACGGATATCCACCGAACATCGCCAACGCACAACGACGCATAAATAATTCACGCGTCTCGATCATTTTCTCTGCGACCGTTCTACCAATTCTGCAACCATCACAACAACAACAACAACAACAACTCCGTCCAACTTGGTTCGCGCGTTTCCAAAAACGTGCACAGAATTTCAGTGTTATCTCGGCGATCGGAGCGCGCAACGTTCGCGGCGTCGGCCGACGGCAGTTCAGGGAACGCGATCGATTCGAACGCTTTCGCGAGCAACATTGAAGACATCTCGAACAATAATAATCCTTCGTTTCGTTGAAAATTCAAATTTGGGAGCTTTCACAATATTTCAGTGTTTTTTCTCTTTTTTTATTATTATTATTTTTTTTTTTCTCGCATTATTCTCATATATATACATGTATATTTTCACGCGCGCGCGCGCGCGCGCGCGGGATGTTGCGATCTAACATTTCTGCTCTGCTCGACGAATCAGCTCATGTCGAAGATACTCATCCTGCGTATTGTTCCTATGTACAAGTACGTATATACTACTAATTAATTACTCGTTCGCACAGAATTAATTTCGTAACTGTTAACGCGAGATTACGTCCTTCCCCCTTTGTTTTAACCTTTTCGATTCAAAAAAGAAAAAGAAAAAAGAAAAAAAGTAAAGAAAACTGAGAAAAAAGAAAAAAAGGAGAACGAAGAACGATCGTTTTGAGAAAGAAAAAGCAAAGGATTTCTTTTTTTTTTCGTTACAATTGTTTCCCATATATTTGATTTCACTCACTGATTTCTCTCTCTCTCTCTCTCTCTCTCTCTCTCGCTCTCTCTTTTTATATATACATATCGTTATTCATGATTCTTTTATTATTCGCGATTTCTGCGACTGACGCAGCCTCTGATAAATGCTCTCTCTTTCTCTATTTCTCTCTCTCTCTCTCTCTCTCTCTCTCTCTATTTATCTTTTTCTCTCTCTCTCTCTCTCTCTCTCTCTCTCTGTCTCTCTCTTTCTCTCTCAGCCACCGCGGACGATCGAATTAGCGGTGCCGCCTAACGCGCGAAATTTCTCTGTTTTTTTTTTCCAGAGATCTACCTGCCGCCGGCGCGGCTGGGGGCGTGCCTGAAGCCGGCGCCGCCCTTCGACCCGGGCCTGAGCTGCTACGCGGTGCCGCGGCTGGTGTTGCCGGACACGTCCGGCTGGATCCCTGAGACCGACAAGCCGTACATGTGCTCTAGCTGCGGCAAGGGTTACACGCACATATTCACGCTGAACCGGCACCGTCGCACCGTCTGCGGAAAGATCAGGAACACCAGCGGCAAGTGGAAGTGCCCCCGTTGCACCCGCTCCTACGTCACCGAGGGCAACCTGGTGCGGCACGTGCGGTTCGAGTGCGGCGTCCGCCGGAAGTTCTGCTGCATCTTCTGCAACCGGAAGTTCACGCAACGGTGCAGTCTGATCAGGCACCTGCGGAACTTCCACAACGAGAGCTTCGACAGCAACAGCGGCGGCGCGGGCGTGCCGGCCGACAACCAGCCGACGATAAACCCGTGCCACGTGGAGATCAAGACCCCCGACACCACCAGGATGTCGATTTGAGGCCGGCCGGACGCGACACCCAACGCGGCCAGACGCGGCTTTTTAACGGACGCGGATCCCACGTCCCGAAACGACTGCGACTAAAATCGTCTACACGATTTTTCCCCCTCTTCGGATTCTAAACGAAAAATGGACGATCTCGCGGCGCACTTTTTTTTTATGGTCGCCGATTAGTCGGCGATTGTAAAAAGAACCGAGGGGACGATGATCATCGCGTCCACGTTGCCCGAGGCGTCCGTTTTCGGCGCGCGATCCGAGAGGGAAATTCGGCAGAATTTAGCGCAGCTCGGTCGAGCATTACATTTACATTTCCGAGCGAACGAATCTCGACGGTTTCTTCGACGGACGCGCGCCAGGGAGCTTCGCCGTTTCGCGTTTCGGCGATCTGCTCGGACGCTTGCTTCGGTTCTTTTTTTATAAAACGTTTCGATGCGAATCTCGTTGATCGCCGCAAGTTCAACGATCGACGATCCATCGGCGAGATCTTTCTTTGAACGACGGTTCAAACGGTGTCTTCGTTGTGTGCACAACGATCGCGGATTTCACGCGTTTATGGGCAGCATCGAGCGTTCGCGGTTTAAAACAGCATAAATGATCGGAAGAATTGGAAGATTCCGTTTTATTGCCGCGAGTCGATTAACACGAGCACCGATAGAAGGAACTCGGTATTTGGCGCCCGTTTCTTGCAATCGACCATTTTTTTATGTCGCGCGGAAATCCGCGGTCTCACGTGCACGCTGTTTCGACGGATTTTAACGCTCCGCCGAATTCGTAACTTCGATCAAACGTTTCGCGTTGGTTAACTTCTCGTTAACGGTTCTCGCGCGCGGTTCTCGAGGAGGTGCAATTCTCCCCGCGATTCTCCCCGATCGTCCCTCGGACGTCGTCGAACCATATCGACAACGAAATAACGCGAAACAGCAATTAATTCGAGCGAGACTACGAAGCGCGGTAAATTCTCTCCGATCGTCCCTCGGCTTGCGAACGAAAATAGACAATTTGGCAACGTGAAAACGAGCCGCGAGGCTCGAACAATCGTGCAAGCCGAAGGACAATTGGGGAGAGTTTACCGTAATCGTATCCCCCCATTCCAAATTGTCCATTTTCGTTCGCAAGCCGAGGGACGATCGGAGAGAATTTACCGCGCTTCGTAGTCTCGCTCGAATTAAATGCTGTTGCGCGTTCCAATTCGTTTCGGAAACGAAACTTGCGAGAGGAGAGTCCCGTTATACGACGCGATCGAACGAATTCGCGACTCGCGGATAACATTGGCAGAGATTCGGAATATCGCTCGGTTTTCGAAGCGCGAACGAAACGGTTGCGCGAGTCGTATCGCGAGCGATAGAGACGAGTGTCGTTGCCATTCAATTTCAATTCGTTGCTTTCGTATTAATTAGTTCGCAGTGCAGAAACGTAGCGGCGAAGCAAGTCGACGCGAGTGCTTTCGCGTTCGACAGTTTCACTTTCGTCGAACCTTAACGTCGACGCGGCAATAAATTACATAGGCGTGGCACTGTCACAGGGAAAAATTCCCGGCAACCCGAAATTCGGCATTTCCGGGAGGAATTACTGTATCCTAAAAATGAAACCTGATTTCGACGGTCTGCCAACGTCGCTTGAGACTCGAACGTCTGTTCGATCGGCCGCGACAGTCGCATATTTCGCTATACCTTCAGTCTCGGAATGAAATTCGCGCCAAGGTCGCGAAGATCCATCGGAAACGTTCGCTCGAAGTTGCAAATTCCGACTCGCGTCCGGCAACGTCGCCGCGAAGTGCAATTCATTTTTCGAAAAATGTTCTCCAATTGGACGATCTCACGATCTGAGAAAGATTCGTGCCGGTTGCTTCGAGATCGCAAACATTATCCGGGCGACCTCGAACGTCGCGGAGTTTGGAGGCGCGTCGCGCACTCTCTCGCGAATCGAGACATTTCAGTACAAATTACTTAGGACATTTTCTCACAAATTCCAAGCTCTTTTACGATGAACGGACTTTTTAAATCATCACGACGCTCTTGGGCGAACGATTTTTTTTAGGTTTAGCAAAAGAATCGACGATGATCCAGTGATCGGATTTCGCGAATTAATCATAAGTTTTTAGTCGACGTGACAATTAGCACTGTAGCCAAGTAAGGGATTTTAATTAGAGAACTGCCCGCGCTGTTTTCCGGCTTTTCTTTTACGTTTTACGCAGACGGACGCGGAACTTCCGCGAATCTCGCGAGAGAATGTCCCTGCGCGCGGCGACACCGTTCGAAGAAACCGCGGAAATGGTTCCTTGCGGAAGAAAATCTTTTTAACGTAATCTCTATCTCTCTATCTATCTCTCTCTATCTCCTACAAGCAGTAGAAGTTTCAAGTGTCACTTACGTCTTAAGGAATTCACGTCGTGTTACGTAGACTAGCTGTTAAGGAAGATATTAGAGAAGAAAGCGGCGACCGCGCGCGCGCGTTCATAGATACGTTCGAGTATGAAAAACCACGGCGGAAGAGAATGCGGAGCCCGGAGCCAGCGGCGGAAACCGTTCGAGAAGCTCGACGTTCGACCGAAGATCGTTCGAAGACAGTTTTTCGTTCGGATAAGTATTGTCCGAGGTAACAGCACGCGTGGACATAGTAATCGCCTGGCGACTGGCAGCTACTCGAAAACGGCTGGAATACTGGTATGGCCTTTTTAAATCGATAAGCTTTTGACTATCAGAAGAATCTATACATAAATATATAAATAAATAAGCAAACAAATAAACGAATGAATAAATAAATAAATAAATAAATATATATATATATGTGTATACATATACGTGTATACAGGGTGTCCCAAAAATGTCTCGTAATCCGGAAACGGCGGGTTCCTCGGGTCATTTGAAGCAACTTCTTCCTTTACAAAAATGTTCTCCGAGGCGCCGTTAACGAGTTATCAACGATAAACAGCGACCAATAAGAATCGAGTACGGCTGACGCGAGGCGGCCCAGCCAACCGGCGCGCGAAGCCCGGTTCCGCTCATTGGCTCGGTCGCCTCGCGCCAGCCGAGCTCGCCTCTCATTGGTCACTGTTTTTCGTTAATAACTCGTTAACGGTGCCTCGGAGAAAATTTTTGTAAAGGAAAAAGTTGCTTCGAATGACCCGAGGAACCCGCCACTTTCGGATTGCGAGACATTTTCGGGACACCCTGTACATGTACATGTGTACATCTATATATGTGTATGTATATATATGTACACGTAATATTTCTAAGGATAAGGTCATAAAATGGCACTGAGCACGGCGAAGGAGCGTTTTATCACGGTGAGAATACGAAAAGAAAGAAAAGAAAAGAAGAAGACCAGGGGGGGTCCCCCCCGTCGGGGGACGATTATCGAAATTTTTGGCGACGATTATGTGCCGTTTTCTTGAAAAATAAAAAAAAGTGTCTTAATAAGCTCTGGATCTTTGCACGTGCATCGACGATGTGCATCCGAGTGCAAGATGAAGAAGATACGCTTTGTTGCTCGTTCTGTAAAAAAGAAAAATGAAAAAAAAAACAAACGAGAATGAAGGAGAGCACGAGAAAATATTTTCGCGATACTAAAGGCTGATTATTTGATATATATAAATATATATATTATATATATATATATATATAGCGCGCGTGTTGGGCTTTCGATAAGTTTTACGTTACGTTTTTTTTCCGAACATATTGTCGGTTATTCGTTGTTTTGTTTCTCTCATAGCTGTATACATTCGTATCACTCTGCGTGCGCCGCAGAGGACTGAAACACGGCTTAACTTGTTCGCGCTCACGCGTGACCGAAATTTTCGGCGGGAACTTCTTTCGTTTCCATCGTTCTCTTTTTTTTAAACCAGCCGCATGCAATAATCGGTGGTATTTATATATACAGGGTGCCCTAAAATTATTGTATTTCCGGGAACTGAGAGGTTCCTGAGGTGACTTGAAGCAACTTTTTCCTTTACAAAAATTTTCTCCGCGGCTTCGTTTACGAGTTATTCACGAAAAACACTGACCAACGAGAGATCGCGTACAGCTGACGCCCCGCCCTCGCGACGACAGCCTCTGAGTCATACGGCCGACGCGACGCGGAGGGCGGAGCGCCGGCCGCACTGGCTCTCCGACTGGTTTCACGTTTCTCGTCAATAAGTCGTGAACGAAGCCTCGGAGAACATTTTTGTAAAGGAAGAAGTTGCTTCAAATGACCTCAGGAATCATTTTCCGCAAATACCATACTTTTGTTTTATTATATATATTATATTAATTTTGTTTTTGTTACCTAAAGTATTGTTTATATATATATATATATATATATATATATATATATACCATACTTTTGTTTTATTATATATATTATATTAATTTTGTTTTTGTTACCTAAAGTATTGTTTATATATATATATATATATATATATATATATATATACCATACTTTTGTTTTATTATATATATTATATTAATTTTGTTTTTGTTACCTAAAGTATTGTTTATATATATATATATATATATATATATATATATATANCTCTGAGTCATACGGCCGACGCGACGCGGAGGGCGGAGCGCCGGCCGCACTGGCTCTCCGACTGGTTTCACGTTTCTCGTCAATAAGTCGTGAACGAAGCCTCGGAGAACATTTTTGTAAAGGAAGAAGTTGCTTCAAATGACCTCAGGAATCATTTTCCGCAAATACCATACTTTTGTTTTATTATATATATTATATTAATTTTGTTTTTGTTACCTAAAGTATTGTTTATATATATATATATATATATATATATATATATATATATATATATATATAAATATTGTTTTCATCGTTTTCTTTCCACGCGATCTCGCGTAGCTTGCAAAGACGGCGCTGAGAGGACGCGGGAGAGAGCGTTATCCATCTCCCTCCCCCCTTTTTAAATGCTTAAATTAATCGAAGCGGTTCGCGCGAAAAAAATTCCGTGTCTTCGTGTCGCATTCTTTTTTCTTATTATTAAGTATTATTCGTCATCTCTCGGCTGTGAACGCGTTAAAACGAGGCGACGCGAACAAAACAGGGCGCGCCGCGCCGCGCGCTTTTTTCCCCATTGTTTCGGCCACGCGTAAGCGGCGCAACGGGTTAAGCGGTTTCCTTGGACGAGTACGCGTAAAAATGATTATGCTGTACGATGCGAATTGACGGTGTTCCTCCTCGTGGCGCGGCCGCGCGGGTCGCGCCTCGACGGTGCTGAATGTTTCGAGCCGTTCATCAACACTACTAATTTCTCCGACTTTTTGTTTCTCACGTGTTTCCCCTCACCCACCGCCCCCCCCTCCGTTTCTCGCTATATTCTTCCCGATTGTTTCACTTCGATTCACCGAATTAATCCGTTAAGACTGCGTTTTATTAAAGGGAACTAGGATTATAACTATCTGCGATGGTGCACTTATTAAAAAGGACTTCGACGACGACTTCTATCCAAAAAATGGTATCGTTGTTGCTCAGGACGTGGCCGGTGATCGTTCGCCGGCCGGTCGTTATCGTCGCAGTCGACAAACGTGACGGCTCCGATGATCTTTCTCGCGATCGGCGGCAGATCGGCGTTGTTTTAGGCTGTGACGTGAGGGATGACAGAGTAAAAAAAGAAAGAAAGAAACGCGCGCACGAAGAAGCGACGGCGGAAAGCGAAAAAGAAGAAGAAGAAGCAGAAGAAGAAGAAGAAAAAGAAAGAAAGAGAGGAAAAAATGAGAAATCGTTCGTCTCGCGTTCACGCTTCTTTTCGTTCGTTCCTGGTCGACGAATCGATTTAACCAAAAAAAGAAAAAAAAAGAAAGAATAACGCACGCGCGTTTTACGAAGCGTGGTGTGCGGCAAGCAAAAAACAAATATAAAAGGAGGAGCGACGAAAGTAAAAAGAAGATCTCGAGAGCGCGACTTGTCGTCGACGCGTCGGTCAGGGTGCCCTCGTTGCGTCGCCGCGGGCGAAAAGAGCCCGAGCCTGAAATATTTTTGATTTCCTTTTGTTCACTTGAACTCGCGATACGTAAAGCAGGATATCTCGTCAGAAAGACCCTTTTGTTGTTGTATAAGGTGTTACTTAAAACAGAAGAAAACTAATAAATACACACGATTTACGTATCTCACGGCAAATGCTTTCCTCTCGACTTCACCGGGACAAAAGAAAAACACCCTTCTCGAGAGAAGATCCTATTTTCTGTTCTCCTACCGCGTCGCCGCGTGCCAGATCGAACCCCCACGGATCTTCCTCCCTCCGCCCCCACCCCCCTCTTGCCTGCGAACTTTAATTTCGTTCTCTCTTTCAGTGTGTCCACGCATCGATGTCGTCACCCTTTCCTCCGCGCGTCGAACTCTCCCCGGCCAGGTCTTCTTCGCGCGCGCGCTCGTCGTTCGAGGGGCGCGCACCCCGGCCTCCGTGCTCGCGCGCACATCAATAATTGCACGGGATACAGTGTATCGATCGTCTCGAGAGCGCGGCGAGAAGGCGTGGCCGTCGAATCGGCGCGGGCCTCTCTTTACGATAAAAAAAGAACGCCGCCTTCTTCCTCCCTGATTGTTTGATCGTTCCCTTCCGACATTTTCGCGCCCCTCTGTCTCCCCCCGCGCGCACACACATTTACACAGAGATCTCGCTCACATGATTTTCCGATCCTGTTTCAGTGAAACGACGTCTGTTTTGCGACCAACTGCCCCGCGAATTGTGGCGGCGCTGCAAGGACGAGCTGCTCTGTCTGAAGTGCGCGAAGAAGTACAGCGACTGGCGGAGCCTCCGGAAACACATGAATTTTTTCTGTCAAATGGAGCCGCTGTATCCGTGCCCGTTTTGCACCCACAGAGCCAGGATACCGACACTGCTGAGATATCACGTGGCGCGCGAGCACACCGCGCCCGTGTCGGTCGAGGAGATCTGTTGATCGTCGTCGTCGTCGTCGCCGCACGTTAAACGCTCGGGGCGCACGATATAAGTATTGCTTGTTACTAATTGTTCCCGCCGAATACCCGAAGAGAATCGAGTACAATCCTTTCTGTATGATTCGCGCAACGATTTCGCACACTGGTGGAGAAATTTCGGGAGAGGCGATGCGATTGGTCCTGGCTCGCGGCCAGGTTTTTTTCTTTGTCTGGTCGTTGACGATCGGTAATTGTGAAAAACGCCTGCCGCGAGGTTGTTACAGTACATTCTTTACGATCGATTGTTTCTAGTAAATTTGGTAATGACAATAATAATAACAATAATAATAATATAATAATGATAACAATAATACTATTATTATTAGTATTATTATTAATTACTGTAATTAATATTATATTATATTATATAATTATTATTAATTACTGTAATTGATATTATATTACATTATATAATTATGTTTAATATATGTAATATATATATTATATAATATTAATATTAATAATTATGTATTATGTATGTAATATACATATTACGTTAAGATTACATAATTAATATTACATTAATTAATGTAATTAATATTGG